CAATGAAAATCTCAACCACCTGGGTCAATTTATTGATATAGAAAAAAATAAATTTACATAATAAAAATATACAGTGTGGGACAAAAAAAACTGGAATTTTTTGGTACGATTTCAGAAAAAGGATTTTTTTTGTTCTATCTAGCATAAAATTGTCACTATGTTCTATACAAGGATCATTCCTGAATTTATTACAAATATTAAGAAACTGATTTGATTTAAATAGGATCTTTGAAAGTCTATAATTTTAAGTTTGAAATTTACCAACAAAAATTTCAACTTAAAAACGTTCTGTTAGTTACATGGTGATTATTCAACAATGTTTATGTATTGAAGCGTCAAAATTTTTGGTGGTTTTGTTAAATGAGACATAAAGTAATGAATTCTAAAAAATTTTGAAAATTGGAATGATTTTTGGTAAATTAGTGAAAAATAGGTTCACAGATTTTTGTAATTGGATTTTTAATGAAACAAAAATTAACTTTATTATTTAATTTTGAAAACAATTAGAAACAATTTTTTAATATAATTTATATCAATAGGAACCTCGGATTTTCAGCTTCCTTTTGGTATGTTTTTTATCTGTTTTTATTTAACCATAATTGAGAAATATATAAATAAAGATTTCCGGTTTTTTTTGTCCCACACTGTATATATATGGATAAAATTCTGTACTTGACAAAGCACGCGACAATAAAATTTTTATTGGATTTTTGATAAATTTTCCTCAAAAATTGACGTTGTGGTGCAAAAAGTTGTAGGGACTAAGTGTCTTGCACTATATGATTCAAAAGTACTTTTAAAAAAAGGGAAGTAGAAGGTGACCGCGATACTATAATTTGGGTCAATAGAGAAGGAAAAAAATCGCTGTAAAAAAATTTACTCTGTTGATTAGTCTCAATGTTTTTTCGTTATTAAACTCAATATTTTTTCCGTTTATATTAATAATGATAAATTAAATATACATTTCCATGTTTTTCCCATAAATGTATCATATTCACGGAATCTATAGTTTCGTTTTCATAAAAAATGGAGGTTTCACTGATATGTGTATTTGATCAATAAAATGGATAAAGTTTGGATAAATAACTAATAATTGTTGAATGATTAATCATAATTTTGGATAAATTGTTGAATAATTGCTGAATAATTAATTAATTAATAAAATGAATAAAGTTGGGATAACTTGT